ATGTCCTATACCTGTTTCGGAAATATTAATATTTTCCGATTTATTGTAAAAATTAAAATTATTTGATTACAAAAATTAGTTACATTTATTTATTACCGAATTTATTCCATTTGGCTGATCCACACTGTATAACAACTGTAATACTATTAAATATGATTTTTTTTTGTTTTTTCTGTTATTTTTATTATTTTTATACGCAGTGATATAATTTTGGTATTTTTAACAAAGGAAATCATTTTGATATACCAATTAATCAATTTTATAAAGATTATTTTTAAAAAATTGAATAGTTTTTATTTTTTAACGAGGAAGCCAAAACAAGAAAATAATTGACACTCTTAAAATAATATTCAGATTCATCCAAAACCTACATTTATAAAGATATGTAAAAGTGATGCTGTTAGTGGCAACTTTTACAATTTTTATATTATACTCTATCCATATGAAAGCAAAATAGCATTAGTCTATAAAAATTCTATTTATTATAGTGAATAACATTTCATATGAATAAAAGAGTATATTTTTTATTAATAAAACATTAAAAAGTTAGTAAGGAAACAAACTAAAGCATAAGCACAATATACGAGGAAGTTTAAAATATATATAATGATTGTATTCAGGGTAGCTACTTTGTCGAAAACCGTAACAGCTACAGAGTCGGTTCAATGAGAAAAAAAGTTGTACTATTACAAGACCAATTTAGTGATATTTTAAAACCGAAAATATCAGGACCGGTTCCCAAGATATTTAAGAAAAACCAAATGACTCTATTTGCGATTGTATTGCTTTTATTTTACAAATTAGAAAAAAAATGTAATTAGATTTTTTATTTGGTATTAAGTAACGCTTAATTCACCGTAGTTAGATTTTTTTATACAACGTTTCGTTTTTGGAGGGTCACCATCAAGTATATTTTTTTGATTACGGACCTGTATGTTTTATTCTATTTTAAAAAAGTACGTTTAATCCTAAATTCAATCATGTAATACACATTAGTAGTTTAGGACGTTTTGACGTTTTTTATTATTGCTCTTGCAAGATCACTACAAATTTTATTGTTTTGTGTGCAGTTGACCCGCTCCTGAATACACCTACATTCCTGAGTTTCTCTAAAAATCAGTGGTTTGTTAAAATTAAGTGCAATTTGTTAAAATTAAATAGTTTTAAATTAACAAATTAACTGAAATAATTGAAATTATTCATCAAAACCATAAAATTTTAACTGTTTTGGAAACTTTTCCCATTGACTGATAGGGAGCAGGCAACTGTACATATTGTGTAAATTAAGATTAAAATATACAGTTTGATCGCATGATACTATTACTCGAGAAGATAAGCCCACTTGACGATCCAATTTCGACCACGTTTGCGCATGACGTCACCCGATGACAACAATCCAGCTCGTGGTCATGGAAAAGCATTACGCTAGAGCGGTTTTAATCAATATTTTATGTTTATTATAATATCGATATATTATTTTTATAATATTGATATATTATTAAATTAAGTATTTTTTGGCTTGCCTAATCATCTTAAAATGTCCCAAAACGTGTAAAAAAAGTATTTTGAGCAAAAAAAAAAAATTCTGTCTATCGGTATTCACCATAACTTTTAAAGGAATTGCGCTATAGATAGATATTATTCCATTAGGGATCGAATTGGAATAATTTTTATTAAAATTTGTAAAGGGGAAGAGGGTGAAATGTCTGGGAAAATGATAAAAAATTGCAATTTTTCGTAAAAAATCAAGTGATATGTCGTTATATAGGTTTTTGGCTATGGACATTTTGATTTTATTATCCGTTTAACATTTTAATAGATAATTAGAAAAAGAGTAAAAAGGGGAGGGGTAAAAATTTAAAATATTTAAAAAATCGAGTTGTCTCGTACTATATTAATTTTAAAATTAGTTTAGTGATTTAAAAAAAATTACAGGTAGGGGTAAAAAGGGGACAGGGTAAAAATTCAAAATATTTGAAAAAAAAATTCAAGTTAAATCTTATTTCAGAGCTTTTAAAGTATAGGCATTTTCATTTTACAATCAATTTAATATGTTCATAAAAATTACGGATGAATGTAAAAAAGGAGGGGTAAAAATTGAAAATGTTCGGATAAACAAGTGATAAATCGTTAAAAGTTAAACAGCAACAGAAATTTGGAAGTATTGATTTAATTTGCAGCAGTATTTTTTTGGGACTTTTAAATGATAAACAACTTATTAAGTACTTAATTTTTATAGGACAAATATTTACAAATTTACACTTTTAATTTATTTTACAATTTTTGTCATTTCTCTCTTTCTCACTTTGGATTTTTCATATCCCTATTTAATAAACAGATTTTAAAATACACGCAAAACTGCTTTGCGCCGTATAGAACTGGCTGTTGCTGAGTCGGGTAGTCTCCCAGTGACGTCAGGCGTGCGAGAGAGATGGGCTGGTCGCATGCGCGTGGGTTTATCTTCTCGAGTAATAGAATCATTGTTTGATCGCAAAATTATAGATAAAAGCAGTTTGTAAGCGAATTGATTTTAAATAAGAATGTCTTCAGTTGACACAGAAGGAATAGCTATTCTACGAGCTATTGACAAGGTAGGAGAAGACGTGAAAGAGAATGTTGAAAGCATAAAAAGCGAAATTAGAAATTACATAGCTGCAAGTGAAACAAAATTTTTATTAAAAATAGAAAATTTAACAAAAAGGTTGAAAGGAACAGAAGAGGCAAATGAAAAAGTTTTAGAAAGGTTAGAATATAATATTTGGTCTTGATATTGTTATCCTTGATCTTGATAGTATCCAACAGAAGCTCAAAAATCTATTAAACGTGCAAATTGAGTATAGAGATATAAATAATTATTACAAACTAGGAAAATTTAGAACTAGCTCTATGACAAGTGATACATAACTTGGGTTTCAAATTTCAAAAGGAGGATAACAGAAAGGCCCTTTGTGAAAGAAGTTCTGCCGTGCACAAGATAATTAACTATCTAAGAAAATATTCTAAATTTAAAGAAGAAGGGGAGAATTTTATATATTTAGACGAAACATGGATATTTTCTAGGGGTGCAACCAAGAGAATATGGCAAGATGATAACATAGAGTCCATCAAACATACCGATGGAGAAGGGAAGCGATACATAATTTTACATGCAGGAGGGAAATCGGGTTTTATAGAAGGTGCTGATTTAATATTTTCATCTAAATCAAAATCCAGTGACTATCACGATAATATGAACACAGAAATGTTTGCAGGTTTAAGTGAGCCCAGCGTAATTATTTTAGACAATGCACCTTACCATTCTGAAGTAGGTATTAAACAAAAGTCCAACGAATTCTTGGACTGTTGATAAAATTAAAGAATGGTTAACAAAGGAACATATACCATTACCTCAATATATATTAAAATCAGAATTATTACGCTTGGCAAATATACACACAAAACCAAAAACCTTTGTTGTGGATCAAATTATTGAAAGTTTCGGTCATCAAGTTTTACGTCTGCCACCATATCATTGCCAGTTTAATTCCATCGAATATATATGGGGAATAGCAAAACAATATTAAGACAACTATATTGGGCCTAATGGTTATAGTGACGACGCAGTTGGGGAAACTTGGCGAAAAGCACTTTCAATTGCAACTCCAGAAGTGTGGCGGAACTGTATATCCAAGTGCGAGAAACTAATAGAAGATTGGTGGACTCGTGAAAATAAAATAAACGAAACAAGTCCAATCATAATAATAATTAATGGTGATGACAGTGATGATAAAGACGATTATGATATTTTGGATGATAATGACTAATTTTCATTTTTGTTGGCAAGTTCAATTTTTTTTATTTTTCATTTGAAATTCTCTACATGGAACAAATGTTTATGTTAAAAATATTTTATTTGAGCTAAATAACCCTCTTATTAAACATAGACCATATTTTCTGTGTGAAGTGTAATATAAAATTATTATTAGGTTTATAATAGCCACATTAGACTCCATTAATGAAGAAGTTTAATTTTGCTCTCAATTATACAAAAGATTATCCATTATTATTTAATTAAAAAGTTGTACATTATTTTTCATTTCATTTAACCAGTTGATATTTCCCAAAGAACAGGTCAAACTTTCGGGTACTTACGTGGAAATACTCATAAAATTTTTAATCCGAAACCCGCGTAAGTATAGAGAACAGACTGTAGGTATTAATTAACTTTTTTTTAACTTCATTAATGTCCTTTTTTTAGATTTATACAGATGAGAACTTCTGGTTAAACGAAATGGTTCCAAAATTAAAAACATTTTTTTTCAACTGTCTTCTTCCGGAGCTAGTTGATACAAGGGCAACAAGGAACTTGAACATAAGAGAAAACTAGAAAAGAATTAAGAAATGTAAATTTCACTCATATAAAAATAGAGAAATTTCTTTTATCGCGTGTCCATCCATGTCACCTTTAATTCTTCCCTAAATATGTTTTCCTTGAAAAATTATCACAACTCGTAAATAAATCTCTGAAAACGGTTTCGAATAATTCCGAAACGACATTTTTGCTTTCCTCCTACAATCTTCAAAACCGATAAATGAGATGCAATGTTTATTATAAAAATTACTAGTTATTTCCAAAAAAATACGTAATTCAAAATATTAATGAAATAGAAAATATTATGTAACTAGTATTTCAAAAATATAAAAAATTCTACGACTGAAACTAATACACCAAATCATGCAGAGCGAAATAATATTTGTCGATATCGCTCGGTGCAGCGTTGCCACATCGAGCCTCGCCCGTTATAGGAGAGTGGTAGCAGCACCTGGCGGCCAATTTTAATTAAAAAGCGCAATATTAATCCCATTTAAAAAGTATTTACTTTTTGAAAAAATAAAGAGCGTCAAAATTTTTTAAATTTATTATACATTGGGGCAGAAACATTAAAAATTTCCAAAAATTTACTTAATAAAAAAAAAGATTGTTTCTGCCCCAAGCAATAAATATTGATTAATAATTGAAAAAAATTTCATGAAAATCCGATGAAAAATAGAGCGTATGGCTTTAAACTAAACTTACCGCCATCCCTCTTTAACACAACAGGTATGGCTCGGGTACGATTCCTATTAAATTTTTAGTGTAGGAAGCAGAAGTAACGAGACTGCGATTAATTTAAAAATAATTTTAGGAGTGTAATTTTAGTAGTAATCTAAGTAAAAAACCATAATAAAAAATACAGGTCTGTATTAAAACAATAAAATTTATAGTGACCTTGAAATAGCAATAATAAAAAGTATAAAAACGTCCTAAACTACTAGTGTGTATTACACGGTTAAATTTATGATTAAGTGTAGTTTCATAAAATAGAATAAAAATACAGATCCGTATTCCAAAAAATTCACTTGATGGTGACCCTCCAGAAACGAAACGTTGTATAAAAAATCTGTCTACGGTAAATTAAGCGCTACTTAATACCAAATAAAAAAACTAATTACAATTTTTTTCTAATTTGTAAAATAAAGGCAATACAATCGAAAATAGAGTTGTTTGATTTTCCTTAAATATCTCAGAAACCGGTCCTGATCTTCTCGGTTTTAAAACAACATCAAATTAGTCTTGCAAAAGTACAATTTTTTTCCTATTTAACCGACTCTGCAACTCTTACGGTTTTCGAGATAATAATACTGTTCAATATAAAAAGTAGTGACAAATTTTAAATACTTAAATTTCCCGTATATTAAAAGAAATGAAAAACAGTTAAAAAGCAATGTCTTTAAACCCATGCAAAAGATACAACAACACAGCAAATACAACCTTTAACATACATATAAAACGTTATAAATAATTCTGAATTCAAATGATCCCTGAAACATGAGAACAAATTATTATTCTGCAGACAAAACACAAATCTGGTCCAAATCCACAATCTAACAAATTACGGTTAGAATATTTGAAATAATCTTCATACACTTTTGAAAATATTTGAAAATGGACCATACATGACATTATTTAATCCCATTTCTAACGATTAAGAACTCTAACCTGGCAGTAATGTTAAGTTTCTATCATTACAGTAATCTCTTTCATTACAACAATTAGAAGTCATTGAAGTGTATTCAGGATTATTTTGAACACCATATATACTTTCATTACAATATTGTGAGCTTGTGTTTGAGTCCACAACTAGTTCAGGCAGATTGTGCATGTCCAAGCATCTATAAAAAATACTAGTGATCAAAAGTGTACTATATAAAATGTCAATAAGGGTATCTAAATAAAAAAAGGGATATATAAAGAAAACCATCACCGAAATGAGCTGAAAAAAAGAATATACTTATTATCATTTAAGTTATTATATTTCTGCCTCGTCTCGTAAATAAGATAATATATTGTCGCCCCCCGTATATGCTTCGATTCGACCACATAGTTGAAAGCTATTTGATATATTCCCTTATCCACCAATCCCCTCATCCCAACACTTAGTTTCATTCTTTGTTTATGTGCCGTAAAGATCACATCTATATTATAATTCCTAATAAATTCAAAAACAAAGTGTACCGATGACTAAACTTCATAATTAACATTAAAAAAAAAACAAAAATCGATTCAGCGTTCTCTGCGTTAGAACGTGTTGTATAGATGGTTTAGCTAGAAATTCACCGATTGAATCTACAAAGTTTTTGTTTTGTTAAGCAATTCTCCCGTCATATCAACAATAAAGTTATTGTGTCATTGAAAACGGTAAGTAATTGCCTTAATGCCGAAAATTAATACGTATTTTATTTGTACGATTTTTTTTACTGCTAAATAGTTAGGTATTGAACGAAATTTTTTTATGATACCTACTGGTGAAGGGAACAACGATCGATTTATCGAGTTATTTATTTACTTTTAATTTTATTGTACTCAAAACTTTGTGCAACTTAAAAATTGTGTTAAAAAAATATATAATATGCGAATATGTTAAGTAGGCAGTGCTTTAAAAAAAGGAAAAGAAAATAATTATGTACAAAAGAATAGGATATGTTTTTCTCGATGGATTCCTATTTTACCTTCTGGTCTCGGTACCGGCGGTACTAATCTTACATTGCAGAAATCTTCGTTTTTGCAGCATTCCATTATAAACGTATGATTTAGTACATTCTGATGACAGAATATAGGGTTGTCTAGAGGTTGCGACAGAGCCGTATTCAGGCAGCTAAAGTTCACGAATTTTGATATAAAAAATTTGGTTATTCCATATTAAATAAACATTTTTTTAATTTGAATTGACAATAAAATTCCAATTCTGGTTTTCTGCTAAATTTAGATATAAATCGAAAGTTTATTATTATTATGATGATTCTATTGCACGTTAATCTTAATTTAGCGCGTTGTTTTATTAGTTAATTCACTTTGATTACATATATATTTTTTTTACGTCTCGTAAATAAATTTTTCAAGTAACTTAAACATAACATTTAAAATTTATGATATGGATAGGTCTGAGACTAAGCGTTCTGCTTAATTCAAATTTTGAATCGAATTTGTATAATAGAAAAATGTTTTTACTTTGTTTTGTATAACTAAAAGTTTTAAAACAAAATCCTAAAAATATACATTCTTTTGACAAAAATATTTTTCGTTTTATAATATCCATTGTGTGTAATGTACGGTGTAGAAATGGAATAAAATTAATTTAGGCCTTCAACTACAATTACTTTTCCAATTACAATTACTTTTTTACAATTACAATTACATTTATAAGTAAAATTACAATTACTTTTAAATGAGTACCGGTCACTAGAGCTCGCACTCGCATCCATATCATTTGTTTGAATGCATTTGAGGAAAACGTTGTGCCGTGAAGCAGTGAAATTGTTCAACCCAAAATAATAACAGTAAGGGTAAGCAGATATCCTTATTTTTAAAACGTATCTTGTGTTTATATTATTATAAACATAACTTATGTTGCATAAACATTATAAACTAAGGAAATATAGTATGAAGTGGTGTAAATAGCAGTTTTTATGGGTTAAATACTAAAAACTACTTAATTACGTTGCGTAGGTATTTCTAGTTATTATTCTAGTTTTCTACATTGAAATAAAGGATTAACTATTTTAATAAACGTATTCTAAGTTACTTTAGCGCTAAGTATTTGAATTTAACGTAGAAAATGTAATATATTAATTAAATTAATAGCACTTAATAACGAAATATAAATATATTTCATGATGTAAAATTCAGTATTTCCCAAAGTGGTCCAGGTAGACCACCAGGGAGGGTCCACGGGAGACTCGACGGGGTCTACGTTGGGCGTAATAAAAAATGGGGGTCCACAATCGTAAGCGGGGGTGCATCAAAATTAATTTGGTTTCGATAGTGAAGCAATATACTATTAAACAATTGATTACTCATTTTTCCACGTGATGAAGAAATTCTTGTAAAAAACTTCAACTGTTTATAATATAAACAGTCAACATTTTAGTTACTAAAATGCTGACTTGACTTCTCTTATCAATATAGGCAGATAATATTTTAAGAAGCTCAACGACTGTTACTTGTAAAAACTTGCATATTCCATATTCAGTACAACGCGTCGAGACTTGTTGCCGCGCCGGCCGCCGTCCCGTCCGCAACGCTTGTTCAGACGTGCAAATTAATACGACTTGTGGTGTATGTGCTTGCAATCTTGCATGAACGTGTTTAATTCTTCACCAATATAAATAGGAATGTCAAGGATAATCGTTACTCATTTGTTTCTGGAATTTCATAAAGAAAAATGAATCGATATTAGTGTTGGCCAGTGACTGAATTTGTTTCCAGACTTTCGAAAAGAAAAGTAAAGTGAAACGATATTAGTGATTGCCAGTGTCGGAAAAGTAAGTACCTACCTGCCTATTTGTTATATGCATATAATTTTAAGCCGAGAAAGATTGAACTTATCGTCCCTACTTTATTTTTGTTTATTTCATAATATTAAAACAAAGTTTTTTTTTAATTTATTTACTTACACATTTACAGGTAAGTAATTGATACAAAACATGGCCGAACCTAAGAAGAAGTGTCGTCAGTACAGTGTTGAATATTTAAAATTTGTTTTTCTTCCATCAAAAGCAGACAAACGATTGCCCACATGCCTTTATGCAACAAAGTTTTGAGCAATAACTCTATGAAACCATCAAAGCTGGAAGATCATCTAAGAAGGTGTCATCCTGATAAAATAGGTAAAGATTTGAAATATTTCCAAACATTAAAGGAAAAATATGAAAAGAGACCCACCGTGCACAGTTCTCTTCAACGTCTGAAAGCAACAATGATGACTTGCGGGCATCTTACAATATCTCATTACTTATCGCAAAATCTGGAAAACCGCACACCATTGGAGAACAGTTAATTTTACCTGCTATTGAAGAGGTTTTAAAAACTGTTCTGCACAAATCTTCATTTGACAAACTCAAAACAATTCCTTTGGGTAACAACACTGTACAAAGACGTATTGATGATATGAGCTCTGATGTTGAAAGTTTCTTGTGTGATTATCTACGAACAACTCATTTTTCTATTCAACTAGACGAGTCAACTTTACCTGACAATGAAGCATTATTATTGACATATGTTCGATTTGTTATGGGCGAAAAAATTCATGAAGAGCTACTATTCGCGAAAACTTTGAAGACGGACACTAAAGATGAATCAATATTTAATGTTTTGAGTGATTTTTTTAAAGAAAAATCGATTTCATTCACAAATGTTCACTGTTCGTTGATCGTGAAGAAAATCAACGAGCAAAACTCCCTTCGAGTCAAAGAAAACTTTTCCGGCTGAGAGACAGGTTTTGGCTTTCACTGGGCAGCCTTCATCCTTTCTTCGCCACTCGTTACTCGCTAATTTTGACTCGGGAGTGTAATGGTGGACCTATGTCTCATCACATGTGACGATGCGTCTCAGAAAATCCTCCCCTTCTTGTCGAAATCGATTCAGAAGTCTTTCACTGATCTCCGACCTGACCTGTTTTTGATTTTCGATCAGTAACCTTGGAACCCATCGAGCACCAATTTTTCTGAAGCCAAGATGATCAGTGATAATGGATTGAGCACTCCCATAGCTGATACCCACTTCTGACGAAATTTCTTCAACTGTTAACCGGCGATCGCCTTCAACAAGCTTTCGAACGGCACGGATGTTGTCATCTGTGAGACTTGTCCTTGGCCGTCGATCGTGACTTTGATTTTCGACACGTTCTCGACCACCCTTAAATTCTCTGGCCCACGTATACACTCGGTTCTGAGACAGTGTATCATCCCCAAACTGTGCCTTTAAACGAGTAAAAATTTCGGACGGTTTAACCTCTTCGTTGGTTAAAAACTTTATCAAAAAAGAGGTAATAAAACAAGGGTGGTCCTTAAGATCTCACAAGAGTAATTTAATACGACCGGTTTCGAGGAGATCAGATCCTCATCATCAGGTATGGTCCGTATTACTCATCTATTTAAGACTAAGCTTAGAGATTATCACAGGGTCGGTGTGATAGTTTCTGCAATACATTTTTTTTGAATCAATTTTTTATATTGTACCTGCATAATACAGCACACAAATTGCATTTCATAAAGTTTGCATAGAGAAAAAGTAAATTGTTTAACATAGTTCAACATTAATATTACTTTTGTTTTATGCTTGGAAGAGTAGTTTTTTAGATTCTATAAAAAAATTGCGATATTTTGCGATCTTGTCGTAAAAATATTTTTTTTTTTAACAAATAGGTACAGATCGCCCGATAAAGGACGATTTTTTTTGTTACAGGATCCAGGGTTGGCAGATATATATCACACGATATATATCATGATATATATCGTGATATATATCGTGATATATATCACGATATTTATTGCTAGATAAATATCAATGTTGATGATATATATCCAATATTTAAATATCTTTAAATCTGCTTAATATATAACAATCTGGCAACGTAGCATTACAACAGTCTGTTAACAACTGTCTGGGATTTTTCTGGGTAGAGTGTTTACATTTATCGATTTATTCTCTGTTGTGTGCTATTTTTAGTTACAGTTAGGCATTGTGTGTTGCAACTATTATTTTTCTCTTATCTATACTGTTTATTTATTATTAAAAAATGCCAAAAAGTAAACATTCAGTGTGGGTAAATTTTCGATGCGTAAATAAAGATCAGAATAGTGGTAAATGGGCTATTTGTAAAAAATGTGAAAAG